TGTGAATCGAAGCAAGTGGGATCATCCTGTCCAGGAACCAGGGGACCTCGTCTGTAAAATCTGTGGCCTTGAGGCTCAAAACCTTTCGGCTTTCCAGCTTCACGCGAGGAAGCATCACGTCGGCCCCAGGGAAGTGCGCTTGACAACCGACAAGCAGTCTCAGCAGCATGTGGCACGTCGGCCAGAAGGGGGTAAAGCGACCAGAACCGACAGAGGAGCAGGACAAGGGCAAGAAGCACAAGGGCGACCGCAACGGCGGGGGGGGAGGCGGACCGCCAGGAGGTGGCGCAACAGGGTTCGCAGACTACCTGGCCAGTCTCCACAAGCTCGCGCTGAGGACGTCGCAGGAGGCCAGGGACCTGATGCACATCAACACGAGCTTCTGGCTGCTGCCGATCACAAGCGGACCGTTCAAGGACACCAGTGGAGCGGGAAAAGATTACGCGGCGGCAGTACGAGCTCAAGGAAAAGGCCACGGTCTGGGCCCACCACACATTCATGCAGCCCTGTCGATGCTGAAGGCGGTCCAGAAGGTGCTCGACGACAAGATGGACCCCAACAAGAGGGACAAGGAGACGCTGGCGATGATCACGGAGTTCGTCCAGGCAGTGAGCGAGGAGCACGGCCCAGTGGTCCTGGCAGAGACAATCTTACTGTGCAAGGCGACGAACACGTACAAAAAGGACGGCACGGAAGAAGCAGATCAGCTTGGCAAACTGGTGTTCTCGGTCAACCCGATGCCCAACCTGGCGATGGTGCTGAAAGACACGAAGGCGGAGGAGGCGACCATCCAGAAGCTGGCCCTGTTCCAACCGGTGCTGCTGAAGGCGGCAATCGAGCACGGACTGCAGGAGGCCAACGGCAAGAAGAGCAACAGCAGCGGCCCGAAGACGGAGCTGGAGAGGACTTGCGAGCGCAACCTGCGCCAGCTCCAGAGGCGTTGAGGACGCCACAAGAGGGAATCCAGCACCAGCAGATGAGGGGTCCTTTTGGCAGCTCGAGCTCGACGGCCGTTGACCCCGATATGATTTTGGATTTCGGCACAATAGAAGATACATTCAATGCAGTTACTATTGCAGATGCATATCAGAGATCAGGATTACAGTTGCCTGACCCACCGCCTGTGCCGAGGACTGCAGTGACTTGGAAAGGAGGGGGGCCCGCCCCAAACTATCCGCCAGTGACTGCTGAGGAAATCAATGCCAATAACATTAGCATGGACCCCTATCAGTTACCCAATCTGAAAAAACTGTCCAGCAAAAGCCAGAGGATTCAAAGGCTATATGATTATGCCCTATATTACCGAGCCAAGAGACAACAGGAACAGGACCTCCTACCAGACAGCATGGGACAGGGGGGCCTCAAACAGTAGACGACTCTTGGCTGTGTGCAGTGCGACGACAGGGACGCACCAACATAGGTTTCACAGGATGTGCAGTGTGGATGTGGTACCACACAACGACTTCCAGGGAACAGGGTGAGGCTTATTGTCAGAGCAGCTGATCGGCTAGAGGAGGGGGGGGGTGGTAGAGGGGGTCGGGTCGAGGAACGAGGAGCGGAGCGGCGAGCGGCGAGCGGCGCGCGCCGCGCGCGCGTTCTCGAAGTACGAGGACCGCCCGCCGCCGCCCCCCGCCTCCCCTCTGCCCCCTGGCTCAAGAATAACTGCCCGAATTTCCGCCCTCAGTTTTAACCCCGATTTCGTTCTGCTCTTTCCCTCCCCCTCTGCGTCCCCTCCCCCCCCTCAGGGGCCCCGCTCGCCCAGGGACTGGGCCAGCGACGGCCCCCGCTCCTTTCAGACAGTGCAAGCGGGAGTGCGAGGTGCGTCACCCTCGCCGTATGCGGCCGCGGACCGAGGGGCAACGGCCCCCCCGTCCGCGCCCGCAGGCAGGCCCAGAGTTGGGCCCGCGTCCATATATCACGCAGGGAGTATAGGTAGGTCCAGGCCGCTGCCGCTGCTGCGGATCTCTCCCCGAGCGACTTGTCCTTGTCCTCCTCCTCCTCCTCCTCGTACTCCTACTGTATCTTATGGAAAGAACAAGTCCAACCAGGGTTGGCCGGAGGGGGTTGGCCGGGAGGGTTGGCCCGATCTCCGGAGGTTGGCCAGGAAGGTTGGCCGGGTCCGTCGTCGCATGAGCTGGCATTCAACATGCGTGATGCAGCCCGTGCAGCTGCAATGCGACGTCTTTGGGAGCTTTGGGCTGCGGGGAAGAACCCAGTGGACGCCAACATGGACCCCAAAGAGCCTCTTGGGTGCTGGGTAGAGCCAGCCATGAGGCTCCTGAAGAAGACCCCGCTGGAACCTGAGGACATCAATTCGGACCTGGAGGCGCCTGAAACACCGCGGCCGCGGACCTGGAGCTCCACCTACAATGAAGCTGCTAGGCTACGCACTGTTGTCGGAGGTGGCTGATGGTCGCCAAGCCGATTGTATCGCTACGGCCATGGCGTGTCCCTACCTCGTGCTGTACACATTGCGCGAACGAGCAGCGCATTGATTATCGGATTGCTTCGGAATGGCCTGGGCGAGCACGGCAGCGCACAGAGGCTACAGGCAGTATGGACATGCGGGGGTTGCCCGTTGCGAGGGGAAGCTCTTGGTCCTGGACAAGAGGTCTTGCACCAAGGTCGTGCTTCCCACCTTTGCCGGGGCGTGATGACAGCCAGAGATGGCATTTTGAGTACGGCTCCCTGGACAGCGTGACAGGAAGCATCTTCACGGACGGTGCGTGTGTCAGAAGTCTTGGTTTTGGCCAGAATCGACGCGGACAGGATGGAGATGTGTTAAATATGGGGGGGGGGGCACAGCATTGTGTTCATGGTATATGGCGCTTTGCCTGGACCCTCTCAGAGCTCCCCGAGATCTGAGCTGTATGCGTTCTTGCAGGTGCTGAACGTCTGTCTCCGTCACATCCATGTACATACCGATTTTCTTGGGATCTTGGAAGGTTTGAAGGCTGGGCCACAAATCGCTTGTGGGCCTAGACGGCCCAATGCCGAGCTATGGGTCTCCATTTGGAGGCAGCTCCAGGACTTTTGGGCCTTGGCGAGGCCATGCGGGTTTCACACGTCAGAGGTCATCAGGCGGGGGACTCGTTTGAAGCTCGAGGCAATCGTTGGGCTGACAGGGCGGCGCGCAAGGGCAGGGACCTGCATGCCGCTCAGAAGCCACGACAGCGTGCCATGAAGATAGCCTTGACTGCTGTTCGGCAAGTGTTGCATTGGCTTGTTTCTGCGGCGTTGCATCATGCTGGTCCTGGTAGGATCAGTGCTCTTCCCCGTGGTCAACCTAAGCGAGTGAAGCGAGCGAAGTCCCCCGTCATGCCTGAGGACCCGAGCAGCTGTCACGCGCATTCGCTCAATGGTTTTGGCGGTGCAGTTTTTGTAGGACTGGGGCCAAGACGGAATCTTCGGTGCGCAGGAAGGGTGCCGAGAGGTGCCTGGCCCGCGGTTTTGACCCTGGGACTGAGCTCGGGACCTCAACGGGACCTGAGTGCGGGAAGCGCTCTCTCGATCGCAAGCCTCTTGAGGCTCTCCCTCGCACCAGCGACAGGAACGTTCGGCCCAGAGTCACCTTTCCAGGTTGCCTCGGCAGACGCCGAAGAGCTGGTCAATGCTACTCAGCGATTCCTGGTCCCATTGGATGTTGCGTCTGCCCGCAGTGAGGCCTTGGGTCGGATCGACCCTGTGATTCCGAGCAGAGAAGGCCTTGCCTTCCTTCCTTATGCCAGCGGTAGCCGGTAGCAAGAGAAGGAGAGCAGGCGGACGTAACAATAGACCCACCCGGGAGGCCGAGACCATTCCAGCCTTTGTTGTTCTTCCTCGGGGTGTCGTGCCCGCGGAGGCCTCACGAGGCCATTTGTGCTTTGTGTTTCATGTGGTTTGCATGGTGCAGGAACTGCAGGCCACGTCTTGATTGATTGTGAATCAGGCGACGGTCGCATGATGTCGGAGCGTGTCCAGCGCAACCGCAGGCGTTTCCTTTCGGGTCGGCACCCTGCTGATGAAGGGAGGGCCGACGGTCGTTTTATCCCTGGACCGAGGCCTTCGATGGCCACGGACCCAGAACTGGCACTGTACGGTCCCAGGCCCTCCTGGGGACGCTCAAACTTACGTTTCGGTGCTTTCTCCATGACAATGTTGTGCCTCGCGTGCCGAGGGCCGTGATCCTTTGGTGGGTCCTGGCAAGCTCTCGAGGCATGGGTGGCGCTTTATGCGGCGCCCACCCATAGGTGTGCACTGCGCGGCGCTCCCCTGCAGTGTTCTTTCCTGCTCCTCCTCCTCCTCCTCCTCCTCCTCCTCCTCCTCCTCTCCTCCTCCTCCCCCTCCTCCTCCTCCCCTCCTCCTCCTCCCTCCTCCTCCTCCTCCTCCTCCTCCTCCTCCTCTTCCCTCTCCTCCTCCTCCCTCCTCCTCCTCCTCCTCCTCCCTCCTCCTCCTCATCCTTCTCCTCATCCTCCTCCTCCTCCTCTCCTGAAACTCATCCTCATCCTCATCCTCCCCCCCCCGCGCCGCCTCCTCATCTCTCCTCCTCCTCCTCCACCTCCTCCTCCTCCTCCTCCTCCTCGTCCTCCTCCTCCTCCTCCTCCTCTCCTCCTCCTCCCCCTCCTCCTCCTCCTCCTCCTCTCCTCCCCTCCTCCCTCCTCCTCATCATCATCATCTCATCATCATCCTCTTCCTCATCCTCATCCTCCCCCCCGCGCCCTCGACTCCTCCTCTCCCTCCGCCTCCTCCTCCTCCTCCTCCTCCTCCTTCTCCTGCTCCTCCTTGTCCTCCTCCTCCTCCTCCTCCTCCTCCTCCTCCTCCTCCTCTCCCTCTCTCCCCCTCCCCCCTCTCTCTCCTCCCCTCTCCTCCTCCTTCCTCCTCCTCCTCCTCTCCCTCGCCCCCCCCTCTTCCCCCCCCCCCCCCCTTCTCCGCTACTACCGCCCCGGATTCTTCCCCCCCCCCCCCCACACGCTTTCGCTTCCGCCCCCACGGCGGGCCCCTTGCGCCGCTCGCGAGAAGAGGTCACGCCGCCGCGCCGCCGGCCGGCCGGCCCGGCGGCGGCAGCGCGCTGGAGCCGCTCGGCCCCGCCGACGCTGCTGCCTCTGCCGGGGCCGGCGCGCCGGGGGAGGCCCCGCAGGCCGAGGCCCCCTCTCGGAAACTGGAGCATATACATTACCAGTGGCGGGCTGCTTTTCAATCCCCGGGTTTGTTGTAAGGTCGGGGACGACATCGGGGTGGTGTGGTGTATAATGTTACCCCGCTTTCCCGAGGAGTCAGCGAACATGTATACACCAGGATCCCGTAACCCTAAACCTCGGAGAATAAACCCCCAGGGATAGTAAAGTTCGGGGTTTTCGGGGAGATAACAAAAGTTGCCCGCCAGAGCCAGCATAAAGAGATATCAAGAGGAAAAAGCCAAAGAAATCTTGAGGATTGTCTCGGTTGAGACATCCTCAACGAATTGCTGGTTTCGCTTGAGACATCCTCGAAATGTTTGTCTGTTTCGCTTGAGACATCTTCAAAGTATTGCTTATTTCGCTTGAGACATCCTTGAGGGAGGAGGAGGAGAAAAAGCAAGAGGAGGAGAGGAGAAGAAGATATCAAACGTCCAAAGTTTAAAACTTATTAGATTCCATTTGTAAACGCTTGATGAACAATTAAGTTTTCATCTGCTCGCGTAGGGTAGCTCACGTGCCTCGTTTTCCCAGGATCATCAACCCCAGCGGTAAACAAGTTCAGGGCGCCAGGGGGAGGAGGAGGAGAAAGAGATAGAGAGACAGAGAGAGAGAGAGACAGAGAAAGAAAGAGAGACAGAAATAACTACACTGAGACAGAAGGGCATCGGTTTCGCTTGAGACATCCTTGAGGGAGGAGGAGGAGAAAGAGCAAGAGGAGGAGAGGAGAAGGAGATAGCAACAATCCAAAGTTTAAAACTTATTAGATTTAATTTGTAAACGCTTGATGAACATTAAAATTTTCATCTGCTCGTGTAGGGTAGCTCACGTGCCTCGTTTTCCCAGGATAATCAACCCCAGCGATAAATAAGTTCAGGGCGCCAGAGGGAGGAGGAGGAGAAAGAGATAGAGAGACAGAGAGAGAGAGAGACAGATAAAGAAATGAAGATAGACAGAAATATCTACAAAGAGGCATAAGGACATTGGTTTCGCTTGAGACATCCTGAAACAACATGTTCGCTTCGCTTGATGTTGATATCTCAACATAGAAAGAAGTAACCTCGTTGGCGAACTTTTCCCGTGATAAAGAAGTTCGGCCTCCGCGCCCCCGCGCCCCCGACCAATATCTTATTGGTCGACGGTAAAAGACTCTAACGACTTAAGGGGGGGGGGGACATTATGATCGTGGGCATGGGGTTATACACCAGGATCCGCTTTCCTGTGTGAGTTTCAGTGCAGGGCCGGAAAACACGTCGGTGAATAGAATTCGGTTCCCTACCCTCGCCTGTCAGTGATTCCGAGCGGTGGCTGACTTGCCTGTAGGCATCAGTCGGGCCTGTCCCTCTACAGGAAGGATATTCCAGAATGGTCAAAACATAGTTTTGGGGACGATCTTTTGTTTTCTTTTGACCACTATTGAACATGCGTTGTCTATGTGTTATTTCTCCACCAAAATCCCGCTGTAGGAGGACATGCCCGACCTAACTCTAGGCCCGTCAATGGCCCAGACCCCTGCGGTTCCTGAAACAAAATGTCTCGGCGTGGGGTGTTTCGCGAGATGTTGCATGTGTGCCTTTGCAAAGGCCAGCTATACCAGCCCCACAGACCGTTGTGTTTTTTTCAGTACAGGGTCCCCGGAAGTCTCGACCCATTCCCCAGGACCGGCTTGTCGTCCTGAGTCGTTCTCTGACGGTCCCGAGGCCCGGCGAGGGCCTCTTGAGGCCAACAGCGGCGAAGAACCTCCGCCTTGATTGTTCCAATGCGCTGGATCTCTGGGGGCTTGCCTCTTGGCCCACCAGTGGCCCAGCCCCCCTCGGGTCCTGTATTCAGAAATGCCTCGGCGGGGGGTGTTCCGCGAGATGTTGGTTTTGTGCCTTTGCAAAGGCCAGCTATACCAGCCCCAGGGACCGTCAAAGAACGACTCAGGAGGAGAAGCTGGCCCCCAGGAATACGTCGGCGCTCTTAGGGGCAGACGGTATTAACTAATCATGACGAAGGGTGTTTGGGAAGAGTGTTCTAAAAATCTTGTTGCGGCTTGCGCGGAATGTTGTTAGAACAGTTGTATTTGAGACCGTCTTGTTTGATAGCACATCGGGTAATGTTATCAGAAAGCTGCTCTTGTTGTTACCGCATGTTTTGGTTCAGAGGACATGTCGTGGTAAGCCTTTTAGAATGCTGAGACGGTCGGTCCCTGCTCAGTAGTGGGGGTCAGCCTTCTGAAGGTCAGGAACTCAGCGGGCCTTGGGAACGACAGGGCAGTTTGTGTTTCTTACCGGTTCCGTTTGGCTGTTTTCGTTCGCGGTTCCGTTTCCGATTTTTTGTGCCAGTTCCGTCGCCGTTGTTTTTGTTGGTTCCGACTGGTCCCAGATGTTGTTGTTTCGGAAATGGTGAACAACAACGGTCTGCCGTTTCGGGAGCCCACTAAGGAGTCAGGAACAAGTCACTTCAATTCATTGGTCTTTGTAATTTGTTTTTATGCTTCTCAAAAGCTAGTTCTGTTTGTTTTCCCCCAGGTGATTCCAGTTGGAGTGTTCGCAGAACGGGCGGTTCCTCCCGGATTCGGGCCCCAGGATCCTCACAGATCGATCCAGCTCGAAAAATGGTGCAGGAACATGGGGTCCGGGGCTCTGACCGTGATTTTTCGCGATGCTGTCATTGTTTTGCAACGTCGGATCTCGAGGCTTCAAGGTGTTGGGAAAGTCAGGACGCAGGTTTCTGTGTCGCTTTCGTCGGGTGCGGACAGGCCTCCTACCCTGACGCGTCGATTGAGGAATTGGCCGTGTTCGGTCCGCGAGAGGGCGTCGCGGCCGTCGTCTTGGCGGGTCCAGGCCCGTCGGCTTCGGTCCCAGGCCGTTTTCACTAGGGGGAGGTTTGCTAAAGGGAGGTTTGTCCACCGCCGCTCTGTGTCGCTCTCGTCGTCGGACCTCGGGGCTTCCCCGTGTCGAGGTGGCCTGGACGCCGGCCCTCCGTCGTCACCCCGTGGCCTCCGGGGGCCCTCGCCGGGCCCAGGGGGCCGTCAGGAGAGGGGACCCGTGGCGCCAAGGGGGGCTTATCGTGTTCGGGGGACCCCGCGCATGGACGACATCGGAAACTGGAACATGTACAGTACCAGTGGCGGGCTGTTTTATGATCTTGGTCGGAAACTGGAACATATATACATGATGCCAGTGGCGGGCTGTTTTTCAATCCCGCGTGCGCGGCGCGCTTAGCTTCGACCGGAAGAGGTGCGCTCTCGACCCGCGGATCAAAAATTATTTTTCAATCCCAGGACTCCTTGAGGGTCGAGGACGACGCTGGGGTGGTGTGGTGTATCCTTGTTTCCCCGATGTCCCGTGAAAACAACGAAACATGTATACACAACAGGGTCCCGTATACACTAGGGATCCGCTCTCCAGTGCAGGCTCCAACGCAGGGCCAGAAGAAGCGTCGGTGTATAGAGTTCGTTGCCCTACAAAAGTCAAGACTGCTGGGCCTGGCTTCCACCACCACCACCGCAAGTTGGAGGGGGGACGGAGGTGAAAGAGGAGGAGGACGAGGACGAGGACGAGGAGGAGGAGGAGGAGGAGGAGGAGGAGGAGGCGGACCCCTCCCCCTCCTACTTCTCGTGGAGGCGGTGGAAAACGAGCCCACCAGAGACGTCGGAGGCCTCGGGTTTGCCGGGGGCCTCCCGGGTTTTCCCGGAGGCCTTTCCTCCGGGGCGCCTCGGGGGCCCCACCGGGGGCGTCCTCCGTTCCCCCGCCCCGCCTCGCCGAGAGCCTCCTCGTCTGGGCGCGTGCCGTGGGGGGTGGCCCCGTGTGCGGGCGCCAGGGGCCCGAGGTTCCTGGCCCGGAAGCTGTGGCCGCGTCCCCGTGATACAGTCGGCCCGGATTAGTAGGTCGACCATGCCAGCTCAAGGTCGGGGCTGGACAGAACCCCCAACAGTGACACGTCGATTAGTGAATTGTCCGTTTTCGGCTTTCGAGAGGGCGCCGTGGCCGTTATTTTCCAGGCTTGCGCCCGCCGGGTTTGGGCCCGAGGTCGTTTTCACTAAACCACGTTTTGCTAAAGGGGGTTCTGTCCATCCCCGACAAGGGTATCCTTGTGTCCTGTGCCTCGCGACGCGTGCCTCCTTACGCTCCCATGGCGACGTGGCCCTCGGAAGGGTCTCGTGTCCTCTCGCGTGTCCTGTCCAATCCAGGCCGACTGTCATCATGGTTACCCCCCCCTGCTTTGTCGTCTGCGCTTCATCTCTGCGGCCTGCATATCGGGCGATCGCAAGCATGGATCACAGGGGGCGTGGATTAGCGACGGGCCCCGCTTCCACGGGAAACCGCCGACTTCCGCCGCCGAGCGAGGCGGCACCGGCCGCATTTCGGGGAGGGCAGCTCCCCCGATTCATGGATTCGGCGACCGCGCGCCAAATCCATGGATCGCTAATCCATGTTTGCGCTCCCCCGATCTCGCCACGAAAGCTAGCCGCGTCCCGTGATAAGAAGGAGTCCTTCCCGGTTTGTCGTCTGTGTTTCTTCTCCGCGGCCTGTATATGGTACATCGCTGCCCACCAAGCCACCCCAACCCAACTCGAAGGCATCCAGTTGCCCTCCCCAGTGTGGGGGGTTGGGGACCAGTGAAAAAACACACGAAGCCCGTACCCCCCCCCAACCCAAAATTCGGGTCTTCGGGTTGGGTTGGGGTGGTCTGACAGGAGGCGGGGAGGCGAGGAGGCCGAACTTTCTACTATCCCGCGGCAGTGTTCCAATCATGGCTCGGAGCTTCGTCAGATCACCCTGGAGGCTTCGTCAGATCACCTTTTGGAGGTCGTGCGACGCCGATCCAGACCTCCCCACATCGATGTCTCCAGGAAGAAAGATGTCATCCTCCCAGGGCCCAGAACTGATCCCCATGGGACTGTTCTCTCGGGTGCAGGGTTAGACGGCGACAATCAAGGGTGTCCGCGGTTCCGTCGGTTCGGCTGCGTCGCAGTGGGATGCGTTCGGCCGGTTCGGTTCGGTCGGTCGGTCGCCGGAGCGCAAGAGACTGGAGATCAATGCAAACGGGTGCCAGCCAGAGCGCCGGATCTTGCAGGATTTTGCCAGGCCAGGGGTGCACTGACCCAGACTTGCGTGCAGTATCCTGCAGGGCGCACGGCCCGATTGACCCGGGTCTGGAGAGAAGGGGGGGGCAAGGAGGATGAGGAGGAGGAGAAGGAGGAGGAGGAGGAGGAGGAGGAGGAGGAGGGAGAGGTGGAGGAGGAGGAGGGGAGGAAGAGGAGGAGGAAGGGAAGGAGGAGGAGGAGGAAGACATTGACCCAGGTCAGTAGATGCCCGAGGTCGGTCGTGGCTTGCGCGTCCTGTGCCCCCTCGGGAGGCTTCGTTTGCAAGGCCAGCCGCGAACCTGTCGATTCGGTTGCATCGGTGTCGGTTGGAATCGAACGTTTCGGTCGGTTCGGTTGTTGCGGAGTCCCTGCGTTGTCGCGTACCACTTCTGTTACTTCGGTTGATGCGGCTTCGCCGCGGGCGCCCGCGGGCGCTTTGTATCGGCCCGGGGGATCGAATCCACCAGTTTCCAATTCGATTTTGTTGCCCACGGATTCGCGCCGATCCGATTCCAATTAGCCTTTCCCGTTGAAGAAAAAAGGATGGGGAGGAGGAGGAGCAGCAGCAGCAGCACAAGCAGCACACGCAGCACAAGCAGCACAAGCAGCAAGCAGCAAGCGGCAAGCGGCAGCAGCAGCAGCAGCAGCAGCAGCAGCAGCAGCAGCCGCAGCCGCAGCCGCAGCCGCAGCCGCAGCCGCAGCAAACAGCAGCAGCCGCAGCAAGCAGCAGCAGCAGCAGCAGCAGCAGGAGCAGCAGCAGCAGCAGGAGCAGCAGCAGCAGCAGGAGCAGGAGGGAGAAGCAGCATCAGCAGCCGCAGCAGCAGCAGGAGCAGCAGGCCCCCGGGGGCCCAAAACGCATTTTTTGTGAGCCGTCTGCGAACGCGATTCTGGCATTTCAACCGCGCCTCTTGGCCGGCCCTGAGGCCCCCAGGCCGCCTCGTCCCGAGGACCACCCGCAGGCCCCTGGCAGCCCAACAGTCGTCCGGGAACCACCCAGGAAGGCGCTTCGGGCTGTTCCACCGCCCTCTTCGTCCCGAGCGCCCCCCGCGGGCTCCTGGGGATCCCGCAAACCATGGGCCGCAGCAGCGCGGCAGCAGCGCGGCAACGGCGATGGCAGGTCGGCGGCGGCGGGCTCGGGAGGCCATTTCCAGACCCTGGGGCCACGGAGGACAGAATAAACACGCGCACGAGGGACGGTTGTCGAGAAGCCCGGGGCCCCCATTCGGCGCCCGACGACGTCGGGTCCACTCTCCGTCCTCCTCGCTGTTCCTTCCTCCCTGCGCCCTCTTCCCTGCAGCGGCTCGAACATGCTCTTGGGGCTGCCAGGGGCTTGCAGGGGGCCCTTGGGACCACGGGGGCCCGGGGGCCTCCAGGGCCGCCTGGCGGCGACCGGCGGGGCGGTGGAAAAAGGCCCGAATCGCGCTCCCGGGCGGCTCAAAAGTGCTCTTCGGGCCTCTCTCCAAATCTTGGCTCTGTCTCTAAGTTTTAGCTTTTATCTGAATTTCAGTTCTGATATCTAAAATCTTGCGCAGCTGAAATGTACAGAATCGCTAAACATACAGATAATGAGAGTCTGAGACAGGGCCCGCGGGGGTCCCCTCAGGGAAAGGAGGTCTTCAGGGCTGCCCCGGGGACGGCCGAAAGGATGGTGGAAATGCGCGAATCGCCAGGCGGTGCAGAAACCGTTTTTGGGGCATCCAGGGGCCCGCAGGGGTACCCGATGTGCCCGGTGGAACGGGAATCCCACGCGACGAGGCGGCTTCGGCGGGAAACGGGCCCCCTTGGAGCTGCTTTAGAACTTCTTGAAGCGCATTCCCGGACGCTTCAAACATGCGTTTTGGGCCTCCAGGGGCTTGCGGTCGTCTTTGGGGGAAGCGGTTGCCTTCGGGGAGAAGAAGTGGGGCTGGTCGCTTCAAGAGCATTTTGCTCTTGCCCCTAGACGACGACGACGATCTCAACGAAGGCGACGACTACCACGACTATATCGATGACGACGATCTCGTCGATGACGCCGATGACGACGAAGCGAAGACGACGACGACGACGACGACGACGACGGCAACGATTTCGAAAACGACGACGATCTCAACGACGCTGACGACGACGACGACGACGACGATCTCAACGACGCTGACGACGACGGCGACGATCTCGACGATCTTGATGACCACGACGAAAACAACGACGATGAAGACGACGATCTCAACGACGACGACGACGGCGACGACGACGGAGGCCGCGGCGGCGGCGGCGACGGTTCCGACGGCGACGGCGACGACGACGCCGTCGATGACGACGAGCGCGTGTGTTGGTCTGGCGGCGCGGCTGGCTACAGACGCTGCAGGCCAGCGAGGCCAGCGAGTCCGAACCGGTCAGCGAGTTCACCGTGACCCTCGACAGGACCCAGCCTCAGGGCGGCGCCACGGCCTTGGGCGTCGACATCGACCTCTCCGACAGGGAGGCTTCAGAGGATAACAAAAACTACACCCCACACGTCGTTCGTCACGATACGCGGACGATATATGATCACCGCACCGAGCCTCGAAATTCCAAGGGGCCCCCTGGCATCGCCAAGTGTCAATTGCGTCGACGCGCCCACTTGCGAGCCCAATGAAGAAGCGCACGCCTCCCACTCGGACCAGAGGGGCCGACGAGAAGACTCGACGGCCAATTCAAAGGCCGCCGACGAAAACCAAACGCGGTACGATGCATAGCTTTTGTTCTCTAAGAAGACCAAGAACGGTGCATAGTTTTTGTCCTCAAAGAAGAGCAAAAACCATGCACCGCACCGCCTGGAGACCTTCATATGGCGAGGCCTCTCAGAGAAATCCATCTGACCCTTCACCCGCGGAACCGCCGGGCCCCGCGAGGACTCCCAAGGGCGCGGACGCGGGCGCGAGTCAGTCCACAAACCCTGCATCACTATCATGCGCAAATCGGCAATTATGAACAATGCACCAGGGAGGTGGCCACGGTCCGGTGCATGCAGATCCTCCGCGGATAAACGCAGGTATTTCTGGATGCCCAGATCCCAGTCTACTTCAAGCGCCTTCCTATTTCAGCACTCGGTATGTTCTGCTGTGTTCTGTTCGTCTCTGGGGGGGGGGGGCCTGGCCCCAATCTGCTTTCTTGGCCTTCCTACTTCATGTTCCTGCTCACTGCTTCCTGCTGGCGTGCAATCCTTGAGGCTAGCCTGTTTTGCATGGTGCTTCGCCGTCTGGAGGCCCTTCTCGGGCCCAGGGGCCATCGGACATCGACTTCTTTCTTCGGGCCGGGAGCATCGGAACACCGACCCGGGACGAAGAAGCTGGCCAGGAGGGAGGGGGAGGGGAGGGGGGGGAGGGGGAGGGGGGGAGGAGGAGGGGGGGGGGAGAGGGGGAGGGGAGGAGGAGGATTTGGACGAGGAGGAGGAGGAGGAGGAAGAAGAAGAAGAAGAAGAAGAGGAGGCCGAGCAGAGCAAGAGCGTGGGCAGCAGCAGCAGCAACAGCAGCAGCAGCAGGGGGAGACGAGACCCCTGGGGTGCCCCGAGAGGGGTCGGTGGATTCATCTCGAGAGGATGCCGGGGTGGAGGAGAGGGGCTCCAGGAGGGAAGCACCCGCACAAACAGTACTCGACCCTGATCTCCTGGAGGATATGCGAACATGGAGACGGAGGGAAGGGTGGGCATCCGCGAACTATGCCAAGTGGGACGTGCTGGAAGTTGTGTGTATCGATCTGTTTTCATGGCGGCAACAGGGCAGAGTGGATTTCGTTCGGAAAACATAGGATGGGCATGGATTGTCCTGGAGAGTTTCGTTCCGGATTTCGCCGTGAATTTCGTGCGGATTCTTTCGGGGCCAGGACTGAATGTTAAAACATATCACGCGAACTCCGCTTCGTTTTTCACTTGCCGTGTCGGGGCTTTGCATCGACAGACCTCCGCGCAGAGATCCGCTGCAGCACGTCCGCAGGGTCCGTAGGAGGAGGAGGAGGAGAAGGAGGAGGAGGAGGAGGCGGAGGAGGAGGAGGAGGAAGAGGAGAAGCAGGAGGAGGAGGAGGAGAAGGAGGAAGAGGAGGAGGAGGAGGAGGAGGAGGAGCAATAATGGGGAGGAGGCGGAGGAGGACGAGGAGGAGGACGAGGTGGAGGTTGAGAAGGAGCGCGAGGTGGAGGAGGACCAAGAGGTGCAGTAGGAAGGGCGGTAGGGAGGCGGATGAGCAGGAGTCACGGGCGCCCCCCGAGCGTCGAAGCCGCAGCCCGGGGCCTGGCTCCTCTCCCGTGCGGAGGCGGCACCGGCCAGGGGATCGTCGTTTGACGCACTGCTTCGCCGATCGGCGCGGGCCCCCAAACCCCCCCCTCCCCCCCCCCCTCCCCTCCCTCCCCCCCCCCCCTCTCCCCTCTCCCCCCCCGCATGGAGTGGAGCTGGGCTGTTTTTTGGCGCCTGCTTCGAGCAGGTGGAGCCTCCCCATCGGACGCACGGTCCCAAACAGTCGCACCAAGCAGGCGTCCGGAGCCGGATCCCCCCCCCCCCCCCCCCCCCACTCCCCCCCCGATCCGGAGCCGGATCCCCCCCCCCATCCCCCCCCCCACTTCCCCGCCCAATGTCGCAGCGCCGATAGCAGAAAACGCTCACGTGCGGAAGCGGCATCGACCAGATCAGCACTCTATGGGGAAGGCCCTGCGGCCTGTGCAGCCGACTCCGCAGGGGGGCGACGGCGGCGGCGGCGGCGGGGCTCCATGGGGCCTGGCTCCTCCCCAGGCTGGAGCGGCATCGGCCTGATCGATCAGGTCGGCCCTATGCCGGCCTATGCCAGAGCGGCAGCGGCGGCCGGACTAAGCATCGACCCATGCTTCCGTCGCTCAAATAAGATGTACCGATCGGTACATCTTATGTGAGCGACGGAAGAATCGGGGACTCCGATATCAATCGTCCCCCGGGTCCGGTTTTTCAAGGCGCCTTCTTTGTAACGGGGGGGGGTCAGGTTTTGCGGCGCTTTCTTTGGATTGGAGCCTGGGGGGTGTGGTGTATGAAGGCGCCCGTCGAAGAGGGGGGTCCGGAATATTAGATCGCATTTGGAGGGGGGTCTGGTTTTCTAGGGGGGGGGTCGATCCATAAGGGATTTGGAGAAAACGGAAGACTCGAGTTCGCCGGATTCTGGGGTTGCCGATGTTTTTTGGCTGATCCGTCTTGAGTTGTGGCGCTTCATTTCGCGTGGCATGATTGCAGCGGGAGGCAGCGTCAAATTTCAGACTTTGTATCGTCAGTTTCCCGACGGCCCCGTCATGTCAACCCGAGTCCCTTGAACCTGAGTCGAACGTCTCTCAGAGACCCGAATCAGCAGGGGTAACTCGGGTCAGGGCTAACTCGGGTTCGTTTTTCGGGATTCCGAACCCGACTTAGCCCGGACCCGACTTCCCCCAGATAATTCGGGCGTCCAGAGCCCCGAATCATCAGGGGTAACTCGGGTCAGGGCCAACTCGGGTTGGTATTTCGGGATTCCGAACCCGACTTACCCCGGACCCGAGTTACCCCGGATAGTTCGGGCGCCCAAGTCTCCCCGAAAGATAGCGGGGGCGTCTTCACCGACATTGGCGCGGAAGTTGCCGCCGTAAGGCGGCACGTAAGCGCCCTCGTTTCCAAGGTGACGTGCCGCGATGGCGGCCCGCGGAAGCCGCGGTGTGAGGTCGCGACGTTTTCTCACGTAAGACCTGTGCCTTCTCGTCGATGTGGCGCGTTGGCCAGAGGCGCTGGTCGTCGACAAGGCCTCGGGGGACGTGGTGGAGGCCTCCGGCGGCTCGCCAGAAAGGGGGCAGGGCGAGCGGGGCAGGCAGCTCCCTGAGAAGGTGTCCCGCCTCGCGGAAGGCGCTCTGCCTTCCCAAGAGAAGCCCTCCTCGAAGCCTCGGTCCGATCGATCCGATTCTGCATCGATTTCGGCCGCACCGGTCCTGTTCGATTCCGAAATCCATCGATCCGATGCGGCCCCATGCTTGTATGGCGCTGGTGTGCATCCTGGAGTCCTGGCGCAGCCGATCCGATTCGATGTCATGTCGGCTCCGTGCCAATGCTGCCCGACCCAATGCAGCAATGCACAAGTTGATTCGATCCAATTCCCCGATGCGGCACTGACTGATGCTGCTTGGAGAGGCGTGAGCCTTCCAAGAAGCCCAAACTCGCCCTCTCTGAAGGTTGCTTCCTTGGCTAGCCCCCATTTCTGCGCGCCTCCAAGGCCTGGAACTGCGCCCACCCAGATTTGGAGATGATGGAGGGCGACAGGAGAGAGAGGGGGAAACAAACGCGTAGTACCCCTCCGCCTCCCCCTCCTGATTAGGACCCAGGCTCACGACTCGAGTCTTCCAAAGTTGCTGGCCTCGGGACCTCTCGACCCTTTCCCCAGAGGCCCTGGTGTCTGTCCGGGCCGCATCCGAGGGCCAGCCCACGCCCTCGAGAATTCGGACAAGGCAGTTCATATTGTCTCTTTATTTTGAGCTGGTGCACCCTGTTTTCTCGTCTGCCCGTGTCTTGAGCGTGTTTCAGCAGTCCTTGGTCATCTTGCAAGCGGACCTCATTATAGCTCGAGCAATCGGGACGTAGGACGTAATAGCCGCCGCTGCGCGGACGTGCTTTTTCGGGGTATGTTGATGTAGTGATTCAATACACATCTGCGATTGTGAAGACACTGTCTTCTTGATTTGGATGGAGTGCTTCTGCTCTGCACTGCCTGTTATTACCAACCATCCCGTGGTGCTGGTTTTCTGTTTTGAAGAGACAGCGCCCCGCATCACTCCTCTCCTCTCTTCCTCCTTCCCCTCCATCCTCCTCCCATCCCTGCCTCTGCGTCCCTCCGCATGCCCCTGTTTCGTCACACCCGTCAAACGTTTTGTGGCTCCATGGGGAGCCCCACCGCAGGCCCCTCCGGCCGCGGCCGCATGCGTCCCCACCGCCCAGCACAGCGCTCCGTGGCCCCACAGGGAGCACCACCGTAGGCCCCACCAGCCGCGGCCGCATGCGCCCCCACCACCCAGTACAGCGCTCCGTGGCCCCATAGAGAGCACCACCGTAGGCCCCATCAGCCGCTGCCGCATGCGCCCCCACCACCCAGTACAGCGCTTCGTGGCCCCATAGGGAGCTCCACCGAAGGCCCGAGTGGCCGCGGCCGCACGCGCCCCCGCCCAGTACAGCGCTTCATGGCCGCATAAGGGGCTCCACCAGAGGACCCCAGTCGCCGCGGCTGCATGCGTGTCCCCAAACCCCAACCATCACAAGACACCCACAACGCGACATCCGCAACTTCATATCGTCGGGGCATTCGCCCGGACATATTTGTCCCAACCGTCCTGTGGTGTCGGGTCTATGTTTTGAAGAGACGGCGCCCCGCGTTCCTCATTCCCTTTTTTTTTTTTCCTCATCCTCCTCCTCGTCTTCCTCCTTTTTCTCCTCCTCCATTGCCTCCCATTATACATGAATCGTCCCTGTCACACCCCGAAGTGCGTCGAAAGGGCGGGCTGGGCGTTTCGCCTGAGAGTTTCTCATCATGTATGATTTAAGTTGAAGTTGGAAACAGTCTCGCCGATGGAGAGTGCGCGGTTTTCAAAATGTGGTGTTCGCTTCATTGTCGTGCACATTCGTCTTGAAAGTTTGCAACAGCTTCACGGATGGAGGGCAGGTGGGGTTTCAATTTGTAGGTTTCGCGGGCCGTGCGCATTCGCTTTGAAGGTTTGCAAGAGCTGTGCGGAAGGTGGGCCTCTTTCAAAGTGTGGTTCTCGCTCTAGCGTTGCGCACACGATCTTCACGGATGAAAAGCAGCTCATTCTGAACAAGTGGCTCTCGCTCCAGCGCTGCGCATATTCTTTTAACATTTTACGGTATGTTCAAGGGTTGTCATGACCAACGTCCCCAAACATGTGGCCCAATGTCGGAATGTCAGTGCGTAACAGTTGCGTTGATTCGTGGCGTTGAAACTCCAGGACGTAACAGCAACGGTGATTCGCGGCGTTGAAATCCCAGAAATTGGCGTTCTGGCAGTTAGCCTGCCGCAGCGAGCTGGGCTGACAGGGTCAGGCTGGGCGTGCTGGGCTGACAGGGAAGGGGGGGAAGGGAGCTGGTTCTGGCGCATACATAGGCGTGGAATAAGTTGCGCCCAATTTTGCTTCTGCGGCGCTCTTGACCACGATGCCATGGAATGTCGCACGGCGAAGAGCGCGTGGCGCATGAGGGACCCTTTCACCCCGTCGCAGCGCGAAGCGGCGCAACCCGCGGCGCAACAGCTGGTGCGTGCGTTTGAGCGAGATTTGGAGCGGCGGGATGACCCATCGCCGTCGCCCCGGCGCAAACCACGCAGAGTGTCAGGCACAGTAAAGGTCCCGCAGCAGACACCCGGGAAGGCCCGCGATCGGAAAATTGCGGGCCCCTGGCGCGTGTATACAGATAGCGACGGGCTCCTGGTGGCAGAGGTCCCCTTCGCAAAGTGGCTCCTCGCACAACGTTCCCCTCGCATACATCAGCGCGAGGGCTCGAGCTTTGAAGTGGGCCCGATCGATGACTGCACAGCGTCGGGTGTAAACGCTGCAGCGGCGGGGGTCGAGAAAGTGCGCGCGGGAGGGCTGCTTGTGCTCTTAGACACCTGCAGACGCAATGCGAATCAGTCTGCGGGCTGGCAAGACGATGGCGCGCTGGTGCTTGCCAAAGGTGTCCACAAGAAGGCTTACCGCAAATGGGCAGTGCGCCCCGAGCACCAGTGCGCTGCGCTGTAGTTTCGTTTGTCTGGAGCGAGGACGGCGGCCCACAGGGCGGGTTTCTGGCGTTCGCTCACAGAGCCCTGGCTGTTGCGGCGCTCGCGGCCGTCTGGGAGCACAGGCGGACTGCGGGCAAGTTCTGTTTTTTGTTGCGACTCTTGCGCTCTGCACAGCAGTTTGCGTGGGTAGGCGACTTTATGCGGACAGCGCCGAGCCAGCACGCCGCGCGCACGCAGTGGGTATCATACAGGGCCACAGCATGCTCGGCATGCTTCTCAAAGCCGAAAACAAACAAGGCCCTGCGGCGCGCTTAGAGTTCCTGGCCCGCGCGTCGCCCCCCAAAAAGCGGGGGGCAGACCTCCAGACCGCGGCGGTCACGGCGCTGCGGAGGAGGCACCTCTCGGCGCGGGAGGCCCAGCTTAGTTTTGCGCGCGGCGCCTTTTTCGGCAGAGTTGGCCGCGCCTTCGCGCCGACAGTGTGGCGCCACGAAGACGGATGGGCTCCGCGCGTGGAGCGCGCGCTGGAACGGTGGCAAGCCTTGCTGCGCGTACCTTTGAATTTTAACCAGAAGCGCGGGCGGCCGCGCGCGCGGGCCCTGTCCTGGGTGGGCGGCCCCTGGGCCGCAGAGACCGCCGCGGGAGCAGCAGGCGCAGCGTTCTTCGCACAAGGCGCAGGGCGACGCAGCCTCTCACAAAAACTGCCAGCGGGGCTGCGCCAACAACTGCTGGGGCTCGGCAGAGAGCAGCGCAGCGCGCAGGCCGAATTGCTCGCGACGCCGGTGTTTTCTTTCGAGGCCGGCGAAGCAGAGAGGAACCTTCTTGGACATTTGGGAGGACCATCCAGCAATGTCGCATAACATTTTGAGCGGATCCGCGGAGGAAGCGCAAAGCCGCGAATTCGCGGCGGCGACCTGGATGATTGCCGCCGCTTTGCGCGCCCACATCTGGATCGGATGCGCGCCATCCGAATCGATCAGTAGCGATCCCTCTTCTCGCCCCGCGAGGTCGAGAAACACCGCGGGCCCGCGGAGCTGGCGCAGCTGTCCCAGCTGCGCGCAGCTGAACCTGTGATGCCTGCAAGCAAGCGCGCGAAACCGACAGCGCTGGCCGCCGCAGTTGAGTCTGCAAACGAGCCAGGCGCGAGGCGCGACAGGGCAGCGCAAGCGCAGCAGGCCGCCCATCTTGGAAGCAGAGCAACCGATGGGGCCACGCTCTGGCAGCTTGTTTTAACGCGTGAGTTTCAGCTGCGGCGGAAATGGCGGCGAACATGAAATCTGATGTTTAACTGGTCCACCACGTGGCAAGAGGGCCCCGTGGGCGCCGCGACACACTTCCACGCGGATCTAACACGCGTGCCTTGCGCAGCTTGCAGGCGGCAGTGCCCAGACCTGCGCAACGCTGGCATTGCATTGGCGTGGGGGTGCAGCGGCATCCCGCCCCGCGGAGCAGGGCCGCGCCTCGCGTCAGTTTGCGCAGGTCCGGGAATCTGCCACTGGTCCGACGGCGGCAAGGAGCAAGTGCCAGACGCTCAGCAGGAAGTCAGCGGCGCAGCGTGCCCCAGTTACGGGCACGAAGCGGCCTTGGCGAACTGCGGGTTTGGGACGCGGGACAAGATGTCGAACGCATAGCACACGCGCACACGCAGCACAGCGCGCGCAGCAGGAACGCAGAACTGCGCGCAAGGGCGCGACGCCAGAGAAGAGCCAATGGTCGCGCTTGCGGACAGACATGGGCGCGGTTGGGCGGGCCGCGGCGCACGCGGGCGCACGCGTCGCAGCGCGCAAATAAATCGCGAGCGTCGCGAGGAGCGCGCAAGGGCGCGACGCCGGGGAAGCGCCGTCGCGCCTGCGGCCACTCGCAAGCGCGGCATGGAAGTTCTGCCAGGCCAGGGGGCGGCAAAACTAGTGGTGGGCCTGGCCGCGCAAATAAGCTCTTCTCAAGGGCCCAGCGGCAGGTTTCGCAAGCGTCCCCCGCACCATTCCGGCACGCCCCTCACGAGCTTCGTGGCCCCATGGAGAATTCGACCGAGGGCCCCAGTGGTAGGGTTCGCATTCGCCCCCCGGACCATGTCGGCGCACCCTCACACGCTTCGTGGCCCCACGGGCACCTCTTCCGAAGGCCCGATTGGTAGAGTTCGCATGCGTCCGCCAGCGCGATCTCGGCACACGTCTCGCACGGTTCGTGGCCCAACAGAGCTCTTCCGAATGCCCCATTGTCAGGGTTCGTTTGGCACCACCGCGCCCATGTCAGCGCACCCCATCACGCGCTTCGTGGCCCCAAAGGGAAGCTCCACCGAAGGCCCCAATGTCACTGTTCGCATGGACCCCCCCGCACAATTTCGGCACACCCCTTGCACGCTTCGTGGCCCACAAGAAGCTCTTCTCAAGGGCCCAGCGGCACGCCCTTCGCGAGCTTCGCGACCCCATGGGGAATTCGACCGAGGGCCCCAATGGTAGGGTTCGCATATTGCCCCCTGGACCATGCCGGCGCACCCCTTACACGCTTCATGGCGCAGTGGGGAGGTTCACCAACGGCCTTATTG